ACTTTTCCATCCGCCGAACACAAAAAAGGAAGTAATTTAGATTCCAGGTCGTAACCTGGTTGAAAATGTTGGAGTTTAAAGGTTTAGCCCTACTGCTATGGTATTGGGAACCATGTCCTTTGGAGAGCTATCGGACTTACAATATTGTATCACAGGATCAAAGAGGGGGTTGTGAATATTATAAAGGGAAGATCCTAAAGAAAAACTGTTTAAATTATTATAAAAAAATCATGTGAGCAGGTCAAAATTTGAGAATAAACTTGTTTCGGACGTGTTAAAAATTATTTTTATGCGGGACGGAACCATGTCTCATAGAGCTCTGGGGACCTTAGGGTTGCTTTCAGAGCAAATACCACATTTCTGAAGGCAGGAAATGTGACAAGCAAGTTTTCCTGACTCGAATTCAATTGAAAATCTATGGTCACTCCTCAATAATATGGTTGTGGGGAAACTGCCTGCTTCTACTATTGTTGCTGGGTTGGAGAGATCCCTGCTGGGCGTCTGGAGAAAGGTCTCCTTAGATACCCTCACCAGTCCCATTCATTCAGTGCCAAGTAGGGTAAACTCTGCCCCAAAGTTCAAAAAAGAATTACATATAAAAATAATTGTGAAATAAATATTACTGTGGAAAATATGGATGTGTTATTAGAATGCAAAGAATTTTGGGACACCCTAACATTTACGGAAAGAACAGATAAATGCCATTTATTTTCTGGTCTGATGCAACAGTAAAGGAGATCCCTTAGATAAAGCACATTGATGCCTACTTCCGGGAACACAAGCCCATGCGTAGGAAAAGAAATAACCAATTAAATCACAGTCAGCAGTCGGGTGTAGCTTATTGCATCGCGTGCATAAACAGTCCCTTTAACTTCACAGGTCAGACTGGCCGCATGCTCCGAGCATTTATCTCAATCAGGAACGCTGTTAGCATAAGCTGAGAAGTATTCTCAGGCCTGGTAAAACCAGTCAGAAGTATCGGGTGATCTTGACAACCATGGGCCGTACTCACCCACCTATTGGTTTTAAAACCTACGGCTTACGAGGAGGAGTTGGTTACGTAGGAGCCCGACAGCGTCAGAAATATGGCAGTCCTTTTAAATTAAGGCTGTCTTCTCAATGGTTTCACCTAGGCATAAAATCGAAGTAAACTTTGTTGGTCTTCCTTTCAGACGAAAAATTGGCAAACATACGTTTGTTTTCGATAAATTCTCGTCAGGCCTTTACATTTATAAGGTAATGAAATAAATAAACTATGCTGGTTGGTGGACAGATGTATTGTTATTGTTTTCAGGGTAGGTGGGGGGGGGAAGGGCGTGAGAGAGGGTTGGAGAAGTTGCGGTCAGAGTGTCAGTGTCTAGACGGACCGGCGTCCAAGACAGGTGATAAGGTGTGCGTGGTTGGATTGGGGACTTGTTCCTCTCTGCGGGGGCCCGTTTCCGAGGCCAGTGGTCCGCCGTGTGCGGTCGTGTTAGCCAGTTTCGCCCATGGTAACTGTGGCGCAGCGAAGAAATTCTTTTGGGCGCACAGGACCGGTCGGCGAAGCCTGATGGCAGCCGCCTCTGCCGTAGCCAACAGACGCTGGCCAAGGAGTTTTGAATAGCTTGAAGGCACCTTGTTGATCACTCGGAGGGCCTTTTTGGCATCCACGCGATGGTCTGAGTCTACCAGGTGCGCTAGAATGGAACTGTTTATGCCCTTGAGTTGGCCCTTCCCTATCCATGCTGGAATGTGCTCTCTTACTCTTTTGGATATACGACCTTTCGTTCCTTTGTTTATAATGTGACCAAAAGGTGACTGGCAGCTGAGAATACAACAACAGCAAACCGTCGGCCAAATTCAAGAACCAGTCCTAGGTGATGCTTTGTTGGCACACGGTATGAGCGGGCATCTGAACCAAGTCCGGCCGTGGCCAATCAACTAAGACCAAAATACTGATCCGCGTCACGGCGTCAGTAAATCGAAGTTTGAGTTCATGGTGCCACTAACAGTCAAATGGCAAACGTGATGGTTTGCTGCCGTTACACAGAGTGGGCAACCACTAGCTCAGTATTGTATCCATGTATCTGTTCCTGAGATAGACTCAATTTTAGCGAATTCGTATTCAATCTGCAACCTGGCCGGGCCGATTGGCGCAACATACATCCTTCCTTGAAGATGTCCGACCACAGCGTAAGCGTTTGACTCCCCTGGCTTAGCTCATATTTCGGCTCCTTTCGAGGTCAAACTAGTGCCGGTAGGTGGTGTTGTCGACGAAGACATAGGATACATGAACCAAGAAAGTGATGAAAGTCTTCTATTACCTAAAAATAATTCAACCGTACGGCGTCGTCCCTGCGTCATCAGATTATGGAACAAACGGTCTACATCGTAGAATTCAACGATCAAACTGTGTGGGGGCACAGGAACAGCCATTTCTGGGCGTGTTGACCGTTGTTGACACTGCTTCTAGATGGTTGGTGGTCTCGGAGCCCAAAGGTAAAACGGATACCGTCTTGTAATTAGAACATATCAGTGCTAACCACTTCCATATTCTATATTCCTATTCTTGGCCCATCTAGCATGAGGCCAGTAGTTAGACATGTTAATGCTTAAAGTAAACCTTGAATAGTCTACTCAATCTACATTCGACCTTAACTTCGTTAACGTCCGGTGATAGGGTGGCCCTGTCTGATGAAGTCACAATTGTCTGCTTGGAGTGGTTCGCGGCTCAAGCAGTTGCTACCTCTCGCGGCTAGGTCCCGTCAGGTGAGCCATAGCTTACACGCTGGCGCAGCTCTTCCCCACTGCTCTTGCATCTTCAGGAAGCCGCGTCCTTGGTATTCTTCCAGTTGCTCCAACATTGCCAATAGCTGGCCTTTAATCAATTCATGTCAGTGCACGCCTACCTCGTGTGATAGCAAATAGGCCAGACTTGCCCACTCCTGTTTCTCTACTCCTTTTGCCTAAACATCCAGAAAGTAGCTCTGAAATGGTTTCTGCTGGCATTTGGCAGAAAGCCCCTTTTAACCCAACCTACGGTCCCCGATAGTTATCGTGTAAACAAGTCAAGTGTACCTTGGCGTCCTGTCTGTCTCTCCTCTCAACTAGAATCCTTGGACGGCGACTGCAGCCCCTGTGATTCCAGTTCCGCATCGCCCCAGGACAGGATTTCCGAGGGTTCTGACGCCTTCGATTTTCCCAGTCTCACCACGTCCGGAGTCGCCCACTACGCAAAGAGACGCCTCTCTGTGGATGGTCTGCCCACACCCGGCAGCACAGACGCCACCTACGCATGCGCTCTCCGGTGAGCTCTAGATCACGTTT